CTTTTAAATGATTAAACGCTGTGATTTCTTATGCTGCCTGGGTCGGCACTTTATATATATATATATATGAATGTATGTATATATATTCTTAGATATTTTTTATTACATTCTGTTCGCCTTTTTCTGTTCTGTTTTGCTGAGATTTCACATGGGTGACATTTCGAGCCCTCGCGCTGATTCACTTTTGCGAGCTACCAAATCAACGTGATTATGATCAGCATCATAATTACGATCATTATTGTGAATGTGTTAATAAGCACGTCTGCATATTTTTATGCGGCCATTTAGCAAATCGATAGATTTGCCTTTGAATGACTGCGATAAATCGCATTCACAAATTCGACTGCGAAAATTAATTTAAAAAAGAATTTAACGCTTTGCCTGCAAGACCGTAAAGGCTTTCAGAGAAAACAAAATGTGTGCTAATTAGAATGCTCGACTAATAGTTGTTCTTGGCGGAAAGTCTGCAGTTGGCTAGCAAGGCTAGAACTCGACTAGAAGATACCCTGTAGTAGACTGCGATATTCTTTAACCCTATGTTCTCTCTCTCTCTCTCACTTTCTCTCTCTCTCTCTCTAAGTCTCTGCCTTTTATATCAACAACTCTTCCTAGGAACAGGGCTTAACAAATAAAAGGCATGAGGCACAGAGAGAGGTGAGAGAGGGGCAGAGGGGGAGAGCGGAACAGAGCGGAAAGCGCTTTCAGCTAGCGAGTATTTAATGGATTCTTGTCATTTTCAATTTAGCTCGATTCGTGTCTCAATCAACCTTGAGCGTTACCTTAATACAAACAAAAATCTGTGACTTAGTCGCTCGACTTGAAATTGGATTTGCGTCGACTATTTTTAAGCTGACTTTTGACTTTAAGATTTTTCTTACAACATGTATTTGAAGAATAAAATGCATATCTGGAGTATGAGAATTACTTACAATTATGCATAATGAAATAAATACATAAATATATATGTATATATAATAAAATATTCGCTTCACATTATATTTTATTATTTGGTTTTAATGAATTTCATGAACTTTTCCCGAATCGCTGTCAATTCGTTGGCATTTCGCAGAGCTTCTTCCAATTGAACTCAATTAGCAATTGAATTCCAGCTGGTAAATATGAAAATTGAAACTTGGCTCGCTTCACGCGTTAAGTCAAAGGCTTCCCGATAAACAACTCAAATTTCTGTGTTTAGTTTCAAGTTTCCGGAGTATTGCGAATATTTTGCTTGTCATTCGATGCGACATTGACATTTATTTCGTTTCAACGGTCGCAGATGCGTTGTCAACTCGATGACAAACCTATTATGCCATCAAATAGACAATACTAAGCAAAGGAAGGGCCTACGAGTGCCGCAGAGCGAGCACTGCACGACTCAAAGATACTCTGTAGCTAGCTACGAATTGTGGTCAAGAAATAATTCGACATTGAAATGTGATTTCATAAAGATCAAAACGCAATCTGAGCTTAAGCCCCAAGAAGAAGGGTTAGGCTAAGGGCTAAAGGCGTGTCTTAGTTTTCTGAGCGTCGAGCCAGCAAGCGACAAGTCAGCGGTTCTAAGCCAGCAGCGTATGCTGAGACGCGAGCTTTTGCAACACTTTGCATTTCTTATTTTCTTTTCTTTCCATCATATATCTGTTTGCACAACCATCATATCTGTTTGCACAACTTTAATATACCCTTTGCTCAAGCCAGTTCACTTAGATGCAGGGTATAATTCTAACATTAACAACAATATCAAATGGTTTGGTCAAGTGTCTAACAATGAAATGGCTAAAAAATACCTAAAAAAAAAAGTAGAAAGCCAAGGGAGGGTGAAGCGGCAGAAGGGGAAAGGGAAAAGATGACGAAACCGTTTTGTGGCTAGCGAAGCGTGGAGCCAACTTTGGAGCAATAAACAATTCGTCCAGCCTTATCCCAGTCGAAATTTCTAGGCGCTCATCAGCTTAAATCAAAGCTAGGGAGCACCCTCTCTCTCTCTCTCTCTCTCTCTATCTTATGCTCCCTTTCCCTCCCTCTCCCCCTCCCCTCACCCAAGCGCTCTCAGCAGCTGTGAGCGAGAATTGCTTGAAAACATATTTAACTATATTTTATGCGTCAGGTTTCGTCGCATTAAAGCCTTTCAAAGCTGGTTCAACTAATCTCAACTGCAAATTTGCAATATGCAGCCCCCTTCCATGCTCTCCCCCTCCCGCACTCTGCCATGCCCCCTACCCCATTCAGCCAACTGCTAAGTCGTTCGATTCATTTTCCATATTTTCCAATTGACAATCCGTTTCATAATTGAGCGCAAACGTTGAAATGAAATTCTAGACATCTTTAGATTTCTACCAATAGCAAAGACTGTCAATATCTTCTATATAGACAATTAATTGCCCTTTCTTACTCTTTTAATTCATGCACAGCATCATTTGGTGGTGCAGAAATGGTTCAAAAGTAGAACAAAAGTGGTTCGAAAAAGGTTCACCAAAGTTGTTCGCAAAGAAGTTGAAGTTATGTAAGTAAAATCTGATAAGCAGGACAGAGTCTAGTTATATATATATATATTTGTATCTGCCTGATATTGTCGCCAATTACACACACAATTTTCAATCTTTTATAAATTCATTTAACCCGTGTGACGCCGGGTAATTTCTACCCGTCTGCACTTATAATCGATTCACTAAGCTTCAAATAACTGCCACTAGCTGATGCCCCACTTGTGGTTAGGGTATTTAAAAGAAGCAGCGCGCTTTTGATTTATCGTAAATAGAACAATATTTTGTTTGTCGTTCGGCGGAAGGAGAAACAAAAGCGGAAAAGCAGTTAAATTGCAGCTGAAATTGTGCTGAGTAGGGCGGCGAACACAATTATGTCGATTTCCGAGAAAACCGAGAAAAGAAACCAAAAACAATCAAACTGAAGCAGCAGCAGCAGCATTTGGCTATGACTCAAAGGAATATTTGATCAGGCATAGTTAAATTCATTTCTAATCTCAAATAATTAATAATAAATTAAGAAAATGAAGGAGTTGCGATATAGAACCTGGAGAAGAAAAAAAACCCTAAGCGAGCTATAGGCACATTGAATGAGATTACAGGGTATTCGAGGGCAGACTTAAGTGTGATGTAAAGGATTGAGAGAAATGAAAAAGTCTCTAATTTAGAATAAAGTAGAAACAGAGTAGAAACTGGCGAATGTTCTTCTTAAAAGTTCGAAGTGGGACTTTAAAAATATATATTGCTCAAAATTAATAATTGTCTCTGTTCTTGAGTTTTTGTTTCTAAAAGAACTCACAATCCAATCACTTGCATAGCCTTGCACAGGGTATTATAATTATGTCATGCAATGTGTAACGCATAGCGGGAGACATCTCCGACCCCACAAAGTATATATATTCCTGATCAGTCATATCCAGCTGTCCCGCTGTTCGTCGATCTGTTTCCAGGCAAACTAGTTTATCAGTTTTAAAGCTTGCTCAAATGTGCGTCTTTCTGTTACAGGCAGTACATGTGTCAAAACCGGCTGGATCGAAGCACTATATCATATAGCTACCATGGGAACGATCGGTCGGAAAGATGGACAACTTTTTGTTTCTCAAGATATCTTAACCATAATTGGCATTAACGATTTTCCCTGTTCCCTGCTCAAAGCATGAGCACTACGAAAAGGTTCGGCCTGGAAGGGTATTACATCTTCGGCGTGCCAAAGATATCCCGCACTATACCCTGTTTTATTTTATATACCCTTTAATCATTCACTATATATTTTTAATTAAATAAGTAACTATTACCAAATATTATTCATTTTATATGTATTTATTTAATTTTATATAACTTTCTATTGAACAAATTATAAAAAGATGGCAAACTGAAAAAAGTAAATAAATAACTAAATTATATTTTGCCTCTCTTTTTCTTTGGGCAAATGACAACATTTTTTTCAATTAAAGTTTTTTCTGGCTCTTCTTTTATCCGGCCGCACACATACATACATATGTACATGCAAAGAGAGAAAGATAAGAGAAAACAGTTAAACGCTTCGATTTTAATATTCCGCCCACACTTAATGTCTGAATTATCTCAGATTTATTCGACAAATCGCCAGCATTTGCTAACTGTAATGTAATATAAACACGGAATTCCAATCGATTCGACTTTTATTTTATTTTTTTTTTTATAAAATCTGATGAGCTGCAAAAATGCACAGCATTGCAAATGTTCAACTGAAACCAAAACCAAAACCGACACTAAAACAAAATTTGTTGTTGTTGATTTTTTTTTTTTTTTTATTTGTTTGCAGCGGCACTTAAAACGCAGCGACTCATTAAAAGTAAACCCCAATCCCCAATTGCAGCGTTCCCCATGCCCACACACTCACACACACACACACAGAGCAGGCACTTAACATTGTCAAACGTTTGTCAGCCCCTCCCCGTGCGCCAGCTGTGACCCCTTCGCCTGACACAGAGTGCCATTAAAATGTCATGCACTTGGCGCTGCTAAAAACTAAAACTAAAACCAATTTTCCAATGCAGCTCGCAACTGCAAAACTGCCAAAAAAAAAAAAAAAAACAGCTAAAAATAGCCAAAAATAAAGAATAACATGCAGTGCGGGCGAGACAGAGAGGGCATGAGTTTTATTAGCCTGACGCTCAATTACAGCACATACAAAATAGTTGTCGTTGCTGTTGTTGTTGTTGCTGCTGCTGTTGTTGGGTTGTGCAGCAAAAACCACGAAACTGGACAACAACAAACAACGGGAATGACATATTATAATGAGAAAATGATAAAACCGAGGCTTAGGCTAAACTGATCGCACAAACACACACACACACGCAGCGTGCGAGTAGGAGTATCAGAGAGGCAGAGAGAGAGTGAGCAGGAGCGCGAGTGAGAGCAAAAGTCGAGAGCACAGACACAGGTACCTAGCTGCGTTTTAGTTGTTGTTGTTGCTGTTCTGTCTGTGCCCACGCAACAAAAACAACATTAACAGTTAGAAATTGCATTCTGCTTTGTTACCTTTTGCCTGTGCGTGTTGTTTCCTTTTTCGTTGCTTGTTGTTGCTCTTCTCAACTTCTTTTCTAGTTTTGATATTTACAGCTTCTGTTTGTGTTTTTTTCTTCTTTCTTTCTTTATTTCGTGTTATTCACAGCTTTTGCATATGTTGTATTTGCATTTATTCAATTTTTTTTCTATTTCTTTCCTTACTATTTTGATTGGACTTTTGATTTGTTGCACCTTATTATTTTATGAATTTTTGTATAGCACTTAGAATTTCATTTTTGGAACACACACCAGAAAAAAAATGGATGTTTGCAATTTGTTGTTAGGCGAACGCGTACCGTCCCGATCTTCCGAACTCCCCCCGGATCCTGAGAGGTGCGTAGTTGTGCCTGCCGCTTAGCGTGGGAGTCAACGCACACACACACACACACACACACACAGCTCACACAAGCACACACGCACACACTCACGACGGTCCCAAAATGCGTTAATAAATAAAATAATGTGGTATGTTGGTAAAAAAAATAACAACAACAACAAGAACAACAAAGGCGTCGCGAACGAGTGGCAGAATAACCGGTTTACATTTACACGGGACAGCGTCTGGGCGACCGGCATTTACAATTGCATCGAATTCGTTTCGTTTCAGCAAGCGTTCAAAAACTCTCAATAAATTCCAATCGTACCGTCCGTTGCACGACCGCCTCGTTCGGCTTTGTTTTTGCTTCTGTTCATGTTAATCTAACAGCGCATGTAGTTGACTTGTCGGCGCTGTAACTCTCCTGTTACCGCCATGCAAAGTGTGGCGTTCGAACATGCTGCGTCTGTTAACACGCTGTTATAGTCACAGAGCGCAACAGCGCTGTAGCACACGTTTGAGTTGCGTGTGGAACGTGTGTGGAACTCGAACCTGACCTGATGTATGTAATAAAATAAAAAAAAGGCAGCTGGACATTTATATAATATATGCGTTTCTAAATCAAACTATATTTGTTTAACTAAAGCAAAAGACAAGAAGAGAATCTATGCGAAATTCACGCTAGCGAGCAACAGAGTTGCAGTTGAAGGGAGTTCGACTTAAATGTGGGCGCCAGGCGAGGCTGGAGGAAAGACTGAACCGGTTCAACAGGATGCAGCTCGCTAGAGCGAGACAGAGAAAGAGACAGAGAGAGATAGCAATAGGAGAGCAGAGTGAGTGAGCGAGAGTTGGAGGCTGCAAAACATGCTACCAAAACAAAAGACGAAAATGTTGCAACAACAACAACAGCAACAACAACAACAGCAACAACAGCAACAACAACAACGACAATAGCAAAGAGTTCTTTTTTAATTTGTATTCGGGTTTTCGCCGTGAAGTAACCGGACAACAATTTTTGCTCTGCTCTAGCTAAGCGAAAATGGCAACGCTGCTGGAAAAACCGGTTCGCAGCAAAGGAATGCACAAAATACCAAAAACAGCAAAAACAACAACAACAGCAACAACAACAACAAGCAGAAACAGCAGCAGCAGCAGCGTGCAATGCATTGCAATGAACTAAACCAAAAACGGGCAAACAAACAAACGAAAATCAAAAGAGTTTGCAAACTTGCAACTGGACGTGGCAACTGGAAGTGGCAAAGGCTTTGCGAGCTGGAAGCTGGATGCGGGCAACTAACTAGCGCTGGGCAGTTGCTGCTGTTGCCGCTGCCGCTGCTGCTGCTGCTGCTGGCTAAATGACATAAATCTGCGTGGCAAACAAAAGACTTAAGCAACGAACGTGGCGCAGCATGTTTGCCAGGCTTGCAACTGGATTACTGTTACACGGCCAGGCTAAGTGGCTGGCAACTGTTGACCATAACGGTACACAAAGGTTCCACTGGGAATGGGCACAGCTACGCCCAATGCCACATAGTCCATGCCCATGCTGACAATTTTAGCCCACAATTGAAAACTATTCGATAAATGCATTTAAAATTTTGAATCATATTGTTCACGTACATATATTTATAGATATTTAATAATATTTTAATTATTATTTAATATTAAGTTTGAGAACCCTCCGATGGTAAGTAAAACAGTTTCATTCAACCGTTTTCCGTGATTTTTCCACGCTTGCGGGTGGAATTGTCCAAAACTCCGCCTGAGCGTGCATAGATTAGCTTAAGTAAAATTTTAAGCTTAGTAGGTTTGGGCCGTGCGTTTTTCATCAATCAGTCACTCAATCAGTGGGTCGGTTAGTCTATACTAGTCGAGCAATCAGTCAATTTCAATCAGTCAATCAGGCAATCAATCAACCAGACAATGAACCAATCAGTTAGTTGGTCAATCAGTCACTCAATCAGGCAATCAAAACATCAGTCAAACAGACAATCAGTCTGTCAAGCATTCCAGTTAGTCAATCACTCAATCAGCTAGTCATTCACTCAATGAGTCACTCTATAAGTTAGCCAGTCAATCAGTCAGTTAAGCTAGCTAGTCAGCCACACAAGCAATCATTCAGTCACTTAATCAGTAAGTCAGTCAGCCAGACATTCAATCAATCAATCAGTGAGTCATTCAGTTCCTTAGTACGTCAATCAATCAGTCATTCAATCAGCCAGTCAGTCCATTAGGTGATTCGTCAAAGTTTTCAATTTGATTTAAACGTAAGCATGGAATCTATAGAGCACGTCAATCAAGTGCAGCTGATTGAACGCTTGCTTTAATATCATTGCTAACTTATGAATATTCTCTATTAAATATGCCTCCTATATATACTCTATATGTATATGTCAAATGCTCAATATAAATTGGCTTGAGGCATATCAGTTAATCGGCCATGAGATTTGCCTCTTGCTATTTAAGAAAAAATTATGCCCAAAGATCTGTCGAGTTGTTCTTTTTGTTCTTTTTGTTGTCTTGTCGCATTTCAGTTTTAGGGCGAACTCTGAACTTTTTTGTCTTTACCCAGAGACTGGGCTGCCAAGATTGGGTTTCGCATTGTGATTGTTGTTGCTGGCGATTAGAAACCGCACACGGCCAGCAAAAATCTGACCCAAAAAAATAAAATAATAAAGAACAAAATGTGAAGCAAACAAAAAAAAAACAATGTAAAAAAACTTAAATAAATAAACAATTTTCTGGGGTGCTGCGAAAATTATGCAAAGCGCAGACAAATGCGCAAATTTGAAAAATGCCACCAGCAACAATAAAAGCGCAACAACAACAAGCAGCAGCTGCACTCGCACAGCGCCCCTCACCCGCCCCCCTCCCGCGCACCGCTCGGCCCCCCTTTGGCACTCCGCGCTCCACGCTGTGCACCATCCACAAAGTGCGGGCGTTACGTGAAACTTAGCCACAAATCAACTGGCGTCCAAAAGTCATTGAAAAAGCAACAAACTATAGCAAAAGCTGGTACTCATGGTGATACCCTACCCTTAAGTTCATTACAGGGTATATATTGCACGATTTGAATCGGTCATTAGACGTGCCCTATACTCTCTCTCTCTCTAGAGAGAGAGCATATCATCTATTGAGCATTTATTTCTATTAGACATGCCTTGATCTCAATCGTCACATACACCCTCTCTCTTTCTCTCTGTTACTCTCTCTTCTCTCTCTCTCTCTTTCTCTCACTCCCCTTCTTTCACTCTCTCTCTCCCTGTCTCTTTTTGTTTTTGATCATTCAGCGCATACTCTCCGAAGAGCGCACATTTTCTGCTATTTCTTTTGTGCTATCATTCTTAAACGAACATTTGCTCTCTCACTTTCTTGCCCTCTCTCCCTGGCACTCTCTGCAACGCATCTGTTACCTTCCATCTGCTTTGTGCCCGCATTCTTAAACGTTTCATATGTGCTACCACGATATACAATGCCAAGCTGGGCATTCAGCAACCGCTTTTATTTTAAACTCAACCATTTATGCCATTATCTCGTGTAAGCACTTAAGCTGGAAGGGCTTTTCATACGGCCTGATTGACATTCATAATAGTTGATGTTAAATTTATGACAATCGATGTGGTTAAATGTCACACGCATTGGCTAATAGCTGATATGCTTGGCCCAGCACTTTTGCCCAGTTTGATGAAGTCAGCGCGAGGCCGACAAGAAGAAACAAAATTGCGGCCGTAAACAAATCGAAATGCGGCCGGCGCTCAACTTGCTAATGGGCTAAATCGGTGCGGGCGGCCCGACAAAAAAGGGCGTTGCTATTGTTGTTGTTGTTGCTGCTGTTGCTGTTAAACAAATATTACTCACTGGTCCGGGTCTGGCCTGTCTTGGCCCGACTTGGACTGGCCTGGGCTGGCCCGGTCATGTTGTACAGCATTGCTAACACCCAAGAACAACGTGACGACGGCCGAATCCAAACCAAACCAAACCAAACGAAACGAACCAAAAACCGAAAGCCAGCTCAAAAAACGCGTCGAAAACGCAGCCGTTGACTGATTGTCATGGCACGATAATGAAATAACTTGTTATACCCTATAGTCAGCACAGCAAGACGGGTATATTGATCGTGTGCAAGCTTCGACTTGCTGGCAGCTGCTTAAGCTCCAGAATTGAATCCCTATGTGCGCTTGATCATTCACAGTTTTAGAGTCACAAGTGTTGCTCCAGCGGCTCACTGTTTTTGTCTGTTCCTCAGTTTAAGACCCACAGTTGTAGAGTTAATCAGTTATAGTCACATTTGGGGAGATACCACCTTCAATCCACAGTCTGCGCGTCACAGTTTCTGAGTTACAGTTGAACATTTAAGGTATAATCACGGCTTTAAGAGGCACAGTTTTAGAGCTACAGCTCTAGATTAATAAATTCAAGGGCACATTCTTGGACTTAGAGTATTAAATTCCGGCTTTTAAAGCAACAGTTGCAGATTTACAGCTTGAAAGTCACAAGCCAGACACAGTTGCAGAGACACTGATTTGGTGGACTTGTTAGTTACGTGTTCGACGCACAGTTTTAGAATGACAGCTGTGAAGTTACAGGTATCTAGTGGTATTTTGAAGTTGAAGAGCCACCGCTTGAGAGCCACAGTTTTGGGATTACAGTTGAAGAGAAATGGTTTTAAAGGCACAGTTTGAAAGTCAAGGCCAGGATTCGGAGTACCAGCTGTAGAGTTACAGAGTTTTAATATAGCATTTGACAAGATACAGTTTTAGAGAAACTGATTTGGAGCACTTGTGAGTCACGTTTTCGACTCACAGTTTTTGAGTCAAAGTTTTAGAGTCACAGCTGAAGAGTTATAGATTTCTAG